TGCTACTGCATTAACTACTTAGATCTTCAAAATATTCAATTGGTTCTATATCACTATCTTCTTGAAATTTTTCATAGATTCTAAGAGTTTTTATATTTTATCTATCTTTCTTTTTAGGACATTGAGGGGCAATGTGTCCTTCTTCATTACAAATAAAACATCTACATTTTTTAATGTTTCTTGGTTTAAATTTCTTATTCCAATTTCTTTTCTTGAAATATTTTTTATATGGTTTAAATTCCTTTTATTGATTTTTTTTATAATTTTTGAATTTTCTTTTATATTTCTTATATGGTTTATATTTCTTCTTATGGCATCCAAATTGTTCAACTTGGTCATTATCTTTATAACAACATAATGAATTCTTTCTTATTTTATAAGTTTTCTTATTTTCTAGTGCTTCTCTGCACCACATGCCTATCATTCTTCTTGTAAATTCAATTCTACTTCCAAAACTATCTATTTTAACTCCTTCCTCTTCTCCTATAGGTAATAATTTCTCATATTCCTTTAATAGCTTGATTTCCCATGGGAATGGTAATTTTGTAAAATAAGATCTTAATATATGTTTATTTTCTTGATAATTTCCTTGATTAAGTATATAGTATAATTTTTCAAATTTACATGTATATCTTTCTAACTCACACATATCACATATCTTTAGATTTTCCATTGCTATCATTCCTTGATTATATTCATCTTGTTTTCTTTCTTCTTCATTAGAAGTATACCTATCTCCTAAAAATTTTGTTCTTAAGATTTTTTCAAATCTTTTTAATATTTCCTGTATAATTTGTTCATTTAGAATGTTTCTATTATATAATACCTCAGTTCTATTTGCTCCAAATTTTATTCTTCTTTTAATAATTTCTGGTAACTTTCTCCACCATTCAGAAACAATTCCTCTGAATGTATGTTCTATAAATCTAAATGCTGTATATGTTTCCCATTTATTAAATTGTATTGCTAAATCTGTACTTTTCATCCATGTTTCAATAGCTTTATTTTTATCTACACAATCTAAATCTAACCATACTCCTGTTGTGTGGATTGGTTCATTGTAGGACTTCATAGGATTTATTTCTTTTATGGATTGTTTTCTTACATTTCCAGTATATCTTTTCTGTGTTTTTCTATATTGATTAAGACCATCCTTAAGTGGTATTGTTGTACCATAAGGATAATCTTGTTCTTTATCACTACTAAATTCTACTTTTATATTCTGACTTGAAGATGGATTGGTATTCATCTTTATATTTTCAATTTTTTCAGTTAAATCTTCTAACTGTTTTTTATATTCTTCATACTCTTCACATGTAGATTCTAAGAATTTTTGTTCTATTTCTTCTACATCGTAATCATATATTGATTTTCTTCATTTTTTTCCTTTATTATTTTCTTTTTGTGTTATCCTAAAATCTTGAGGTGGATTAATTATAATCTTATCTTTTCTTTAGACTTTTATCTAAAAGAGCATTTCCTACTTGTAAATTATGTTCTAGATTTTCTGATCTTTTATGTATATCTCCAAAATTTTCATTTGTGGTGTTTTTAGGTAAATATGGATAATTAGGTTTTTTATGTTTTTCAACTTTTTTCAAGAATTTTTCAATTATTTTTTCTTCATCTACTATATTAATCATAATTTTTGGTTCGTAACATGGCTCTGATACCATTTCGTCGGAGTGTGCAGCGGAGGGGTTAAGATTTTTGAGCCAGTTAAAATCTTTATAAATTTTTAATATGTCACAATAAAATTTATAAAATTCACTATTTTTTATTAAAACTTTTTCTTCAATAATTATATTTAATTCTCTAATCCTTCTTCTTAGGTTAAGAATAAGTTTATATATATCATTTTCTCTTTTGATTATACTATTATTTATAGAAACATTTTTATTTTTTAATTTTGGATCTAAATATTCTGTAAAGAATCTTTTCAGATCTTCTTCTAGATATTTTAATTCATTTTCTGTTGCATTTTTTAAATCAATAAAATTTTCTATAATATTTGGATTTAAATTTATTAAAGATTTATGATCTATATTTCCTTGGGGACCTATTTGAAGATTTTTATACATTGTGGTGGCTTTGATTGCAATTTCTCTATAAGGGGGTATTTTTGGAAAGATTATTGTTTGAAGACTATTTTTCAAATGTTTTCATTTCTTAGCCTAATCTTACAAATTGTCATTATTTTTAGGCGATTGGAAGGTATTTCCTCGAAATGGAAAAGGGATTATTAAACCTAATTTTTATTTTTAGTCGGGTGGCCTTTTGCAGCCATATTTTGCAACGTTTAAAAAATTGTTGCAAAATAATGTTTTTTGCAATGTTTTTTAAACGTTGAAACTTTACGCAACATTCAAAAAAGTTATAAAAAGTAACGTTAGCAATATTTATTTTAAAAATATTGCTAAAACTTAATTACATTAACTAATTGCAACATTCACTTATTAAAATGTTGTAATAGACCCTTTTAACAACATTTAACTATTGAATATTGTCTTTTATGTGTTGTAAATAACCATTTTTAGTGTAGTGTAGTCATAGTTTACTCATTAAATTTCAAAGTGCTTTGCAGTGCTCACTGAACTTTGTCCGTTTACACTTCATTCACATCCTCAAAAATTCGTTATCTTATTTGCTGACGTAACTAATGAAAATCTAATTTGTCAAATTACGGCTGTTAAAAAAATTACAACCCAATCAAACTATTGTTTCATTACTCATCTTACACCAGGGCTGACCCACATGGGGTCATGTGAGGTCAAATGACCACACAAAATTTTTTCCTTTTTTTATTTTTTTTAATAATCTACTTTGATGCACTCGTCGGGATGTCAAATGAAGTCTAAATATTGCATTCTTAATATCATTTCGAAATACTCATGGCCTAATTTTTCACTCATTAATGGCATACGAAGTCGTCAACCATAGCATAATATGTTAAAGTAGGTCGTTTGAAACTAGTATTTTGAAAATTTCGATAATATCCTAACTTTAAAAATTCGTTTGCGATCATGTGCTATCTGAATCCACAAATCGTCTATGCCATGTGAAAGTTTGTTTCGAAAACTACATCGTTTTCACATCGAATGGTCCAAACGGATATCGAAAACAGTTAAATATGTATCAAACGTACGCTTCAAAAAAGACGTCTAACTCATTTTTTCTTTTAAAAATTTAATTAATTATTATTTTTGCACGGTAAATTTTTCAATATAATTTATATTGTTTCATTCGGAAGTTTTACATGAAATATGACGTAAATTTTTTAGGGTCGTTGTGGATTAAATGCAATTTGAATTACTTTCGAATTATATTTGCTTTAAATTTGTTACTTCCTGAACCAAACTTGAATTTTATTTTAGTTCATTTAATTTATTCAATGTTAGCTCAGTATTTGCCAGTGAAATGATAAACAAAACTTTACAAATTGTAAAATTTATTTAATAATATTAATAACGATGTAATTATACGACGTTTTCAAAGTTTCAAAATACATATTAACTTATTTTCATTGATATTATGTTGTTTATTAAAAAAATTATTTTTAAAATTTTGACCCCACAATACTAAAGTTCTGGGTCCGCCCCTGTCTTACACTATGTTACAATTTATTCATCGAACTTCAAAATGCTTCTCAATAGTCGCTCATATTTGAGATATTGCACTCCATCCATTATTCGCCATATTTCATTGCTAATTTATCGCAAGAAAATTCCACGGGTAAGTACAATCATCAAAAAAATTACAACTCAACCAAATCATCAACTCACAAAAATCACCACATATGAAACTCGACTTCCACACCCCATAAACTTCTTTAAAATTGAATAAAGCATCCCCGATTTCAGCCCTAAAAAATCCTATTGATAAGTCATTTTGTTACACTTATTTGGCCTTTAAATTAGAGTATTTGTTAGATATTTTAATAAATTATGGCTTAGTTCTATATATATTGTGTTTGTTAGGAAATGATCGATAAAATTATGGAATTGGAGACAATGAATGAGAGAAGGGTGAAATATAGATAAAGTATGATCAAAATACAAAACGGTGATTGAAGATCATATATGATCAATTGGTTGCAATTAGTAATTAAAGGGGTGAAATATAGACCAAGCATTTTCACAAATCAATTTTCAATAGAACAAGTTATGCATCATATTTTTAGCTTTAGATTAAAACCTATATTTCGCATAGTAAACTTTTGAATTGAGAAAAGAGATATTTCTAAAAGAATCACCGGGGACACTTTATTTGGTTTTTAAAATGTTTATGGGGGAAATGGAAGTCACATTTCGCATTTGGTGATTTTGGTGAGTTGATAATTTTGTTGAGTTGTAATTTTTTAACATTTATAACTTACCACGTAGAATTTCTATGCAAACACTAGCAGTGACGGAAATGAAATATGAGGATGATGGATGGAATGCAACATCTCAAAGATGAGTGATCACTAAGAAGCATTTTAGAGTTCGATAAGTAAACTGTGACCAAGTGTAAGTTGGATGGGTAATGAAATTTTTTATAATTTTTCGTTAGTATCGCGTTTGAGTTTCAATTTTGGGACTTTCACCATTGTTTCATATTTAACTGCAAGTCATACTATTTGGTTGTAAGGATTTGTTCAAGCCCTATTTTCTGGGAAAATAAGTTCAATAATATTATTTTTTTTAAGAATGTGTAATTAAAATATAAGAAAAAATTTGAATTATTTGTAAAATTATTTTATTGAAAAAATACGCGAATAAAAATAAATTTAAAACTATAATTTTTTATATAATGGAGCACAAACGTTGGCTAAATAAACTTTATTGGTCATTAGGCCCTAACTGTTATATTGATTTTTCAAAAATGCTTCCAATTTTAAAGGTGGAAAACTTTGCTTTTCGTAATTGATAAATAGGTAGAGGTAAAAGTTTAAATTGGGGAAAAAAAGAAGAAGCAGAAGCTTGATCAAATATGCTTGCATATAAACGGTATGCAAAACAAAGACGCAAAATATCTTTATTTATAAATCAATTTTCTATTCAGTATCTTTATAATACAAATCTACAATTATTATACAAGTGCTTAGAACTATACAATAGCACTATTCATCCTACCTTATTATTAGCATCTATGACAAGATCTATGGCGAAGAATGCACGAGAGAGAGAGAGCCAATATGACAATAATCAAAAACATTCCTCGATAGGAGGTGAGCTCAACAATATCACCCTTGAGAGTGAAAACAAAGGTATCATTGTATCATCATTTCATCTTCCTCCTTACTTTGTCGATCAATCATTCCTTACTTGTGCACGTGCCTAAAGATAACAGTAGTCATTTACCTAATACAAATGGTAACCATAATCAGAGCTACCAACGTCAGAGTTACTACTCGTCTCATAACTTCTTCTGATTGTCTTCAATTCTTCGACGCGGCTATTATTACTTTTCGGGCTTCTATCCATAACATTCTTCTCTTTTTCTTTCCTCCATTTGTGCTTCTTATACCAATGCCTTGCCAACATTATCCCAAGCCCACAAAAAACAGTCATTGTGCACCCTCCTCCTATTACTACTAGTTCCACTTCAACAAATCTTTTACCTTTTCCCTTTGGCATTATAGCCCAAATGGCTGCAATAAAAGCTGATGCCATAAATAGGGTGGAAATCCACATTATCTTGTGAGTTATTGTCAGTAATTTCATCATGGATTTCCTCTTGAAAGGAATAATGCTCACAAGTACATTTACAATGCCAATAGAAAGGAATAAAGCAACAATATTGCATACCAGAAAGACCTTAAAAGAAGTTTGCTTCCCAAGACTTGCATTTCCAGTTTCTTGATTAAATCCCCCAGGAGGGTTAATGCCTGCTGCAAATGTCACAGTTGCTATTAAAACTGCAACAATTGTTATGGTGTTTCGAGCATTTCTCAGACTCTCGATATGGAGATCAAGCTGCTTTCTTCGTTGACGGTTTTGCTTATGATGACGATGCCGAAGAGAGGAATGTGATGCTTCTAGGTTCTTGTTTGGCCATGAATTCATCCTTGCAACAATTTCACTTGATCTTTTAGAGGTGGATTTAGCAATTTGTCGAACATCTTGTAGTCGATCAGATAATTCATCACATCTCTTTGCTCCGGCTGCTTGTAATGCTGGTACAATTGCAAGAGCACCAGAGTTGCTTGCATCTGTTTCAACCACATCCAAAGCTGTGTACCCCTTGCGGTTCAAAGAATTTACCTCCATCCCAAATTTAAGAAGGAATATAACCATCTACAAAAAAATTAATTTGGTCAAGAAAGGTAATTAGGAAAATGATTGATCTGTCTGATAAGTTAACTAATCACAATATGTATTGCTTATTCCAAGGATTTATAGATCTTAACCTTTCTTTATTGCTTATTCATGCTAAAATCCAATATATTGACAATAATCACAGAGCTAGAAATCTTACCCCAGTGAGTTTTCCAGCAGTAGCCAAGTGCAAAACAGTGTTCCCATCACTATCATGCAAGTTAAGAAGTTTTGAAATGTTAAAATTCTCCAATAAGTACTTAACAACTTCAAAGTGATTATTTTTGACAGCCAAATGCAGAATTGTTTCCTCCTTGAATGTAATCATCTCAGCAGATCCAATATTTTTAGAAAGTATTTCATCGATTATGTTTATTCTGCCTTTAATTGCTGCATAATGGAGGGGTGTTTTGCCTTCACTATCTTGTACAGAGGAGAGATCTGAATCCAGCTCTAGAATTTCTCTTGTTATATCTAAATGGCCTTTGCTGCATGCTACATGGAGTGGTGTGCACCCATGAAGGTCCTTTTTCAAAGCAAAGTCTGGTCGGGCTCTCAATATCTCCTTCACTATTTCTGAAAAAATAAATGAAAAAAAAAACTTTTTATGGCAAAAAATGATTATATCTCCATTTGCTTCAACTAAAAAAATTGATTAAAATTTAAATCAAAATTAACAATTAATTTTAGGACATTTTTATATGTCGATAATGGGTTACACAGTTTCACATGTCACTCCATCAATGAACAGCTTAAAATACAGTTAATTTTTTTATTCAATCATTTCATTAAACCTCATTTTCTGACAAACTTTTTGAATGTCCTTATCTTGACAAACAATACAATCCTTAATTTTAACAACTTTTTTTTAATGAAACACACAACTTTTTAACGATGCATTCATTCAATTTTTATTAAAATCTAATGATTTTTTTTTTTTAATTCCAAATGAAATATCCAATTTTCTATGAAATTAAGCCCATATTTGGTACCAATTAAAATCTAAATTTTATTCTAAGTTAAAGTCAATAATTCATTTTAACCACATATCTTATGTGTTTCACAACTTTTTAACTGCACATTTCATCAACTTTTATAAAATTTACTAAAAATCTTATTATACTTCACATTTGGTTAATGTTTAAGTCAATATATTCACCACAATTATTTTAAAAAAAAATAATTTATTATAAACAAACATTTATACAATTAGAATAGAGAATGAATTAATTTTATTGTAGAAATTAATTAATTATAATGGTGGGGGGTGAGTGGATGGGTAAAATTCATATATTAATGAAGTAATTGAGGAAACTAAAAGCAGAAGATATCATTTTGCAGTTTTTTAAAATCTGTTGTCAATTATTAGGCGTTTGGGTACCATTTTAATTATATTTTTTCTTCTTCTTTTCAATCACACATTCTTCAATATAATAACATTTCCTACAAATCTAAAACTTTTCTTTCTTTTTAACCATATATTTTTCCAAAAATTATTGTTCCAAATTTTTTTCCCCAAAGTTTCATTAAAATGGAGTCCAAACAAGGGCTATGTATTCTTTCATAATCATAAATTTTTAGCCACCTATTCGTCAAAAAATTACTATTTCAAAATATTTTTTTCCCAAAATTTCATTAAAATGGAGCCCAAACAACAGTTTCGTATTCTTTCAAAATCACAAATTTTTAGCCCCTGTTGGTGGAATTAAAATTAAATTTTTAGTAGTTTTTGATAAAATTTGATAAAATGTGGTTGAAAATTTGTGAATTTCACGAAATATATAGTTAAAATTATTTATTGATTTTAACTTAAATTAAAATCTAGATTTTAATCCACAGTGGCTTTTATCAAAAACTTAGGGCCCGTTTGAGATGATTTTTAAAAAGTCAAAAAAAGTTTTTGAAAATCAAAAATTGCTTTTAGACCCATTTGACTAATTTTAAGAAATTGCTTCTTCTAGTTAGAAGTGTTTTTAGATGAAGTGAGTCCAATATGACTTACTTTATAAACAATTCTGAAATAGAAATCTCCTTTAAAAATTATTTTTCAAACAATAGTGAACATAACTTTCTTTAAAGACTCTTTTATGTGAATAAAAGCAAAAGTAAAAGTTATGTCAAACGCACCCTTAATTTGTTTAGATAGTTTGGAAATCGTAATTTGGTCTTTAAAACGAATTTTAAACGACCTTATAAAAATAAAAATACAAACATTAATACTTAAGAAAATTTTGTTGAAAATTGCAATGCATAAGAGGCCCATTTTTAGGCTAGAGCACATGTTGATCCTAAGGTGCCCGATTGCCGAACTCGAGCTTTCGAATTGACATGGCATAATAAATACTTAGAGTATATTTGGTAGAGATTTTTATCCAATTAACATCATTTTTTTTTATCGTTATTCCACTATTTCAGTAATCATTTTTAAAATTTTTCTCTTACAGGTAGGACCTACTTTATTTTTAAGGATCAAAAAATCAATTAACAAAATCTCTAGCAGACAATCACTTAATTAAAGTAATTCAAAGTTTGAAATATTATTCACACATTCGATCTCATCATAAAACCGCATACCACCATTGACTCCATGGGTCAATTCTCTTACTTGACAAGTCATGCCAATAATTTGCTAAAAGGCCTGTTTGGTCTCCAATCTAGGGGGAAAATTATTTTTTTCTTTCTTATTTTCAATAATACATTTTACAGAAAATAATATTACACGTAAACTCAAAACTTTTTTATTATTTTTTAACCACACGTTCTCCAAAAAAAATTACTATTTCAAAATACATTTTCTCTAAAGAGCTCAAACAAGGGCTAATAGACCAATTTAATTTCGTTAAAAGTTAGATTCTTAGTATATTTTTAAATAAAGTTGATAAAGTATTTTGTTGAAAAGTTGAAAAAATTGGTGGATCTCATAAAATGTTCAATTAAAATTATTTGTTAACTTTGACTTAAATTTTTTAAGTGAACCAAACGTGGGCTTAATGAAAAAATGGATCAGACTTATATACAAACATTATTTGATAAAATAAAAAAAAAAATGAATCTAATATAGATTAAGGTTCTAGACAGAATAAATGTTTGAAAATTTACCTGTATGCCCGGAAGAAGCTGCAGCATGAATTGAACTGGTAAACATATCCACCTCCAGCAAAACCAGTAGAGGAAAATTCATCAGATGCTTCACTGCATTAATCTTCCCCCTCTCACAAGCTGCGAAAAAGGGGCTTTGTTCCCGAGAATTCAGTTTATAAACAATCGAATTATCACTTTCCAGAAGAAGTTTGACAATCCCCAGATGCCCTTCTCTGCAAGCTTCATGCAGTGGCGTTTCCAGCTCTCCATTTTCAAATGAAACCATCTCTGGACACCATTTTATGATCTCCGATGCCAATTCCTCGTGCCCGAATCTTGCAGCCAGGTGAAGTACGGTGTTGATCGATCCTGGGACTGTTTGTTTAATGATGTTTTCATCTTCTTCCATTAAACTGCGAAGGCCTAAAACTTCGCCCTTTACCACTGCCTCCATGAGTCGACGATCCATTGCAGGAAATTGGTGAATCATCTCGTCGGAAAGGAACAAACTTATTTATAGCGAAAATTGTTTGAGCACCGTGAATTCAAGTTTCTGTGTGAACTCAGTAGGTAGGTAGGTTCTTGTAAGAAATAAATCGCGGGTTATGCCTCAACTGGATCACAGGTTCCCCCATTGCCTGTACACTTTTGCACACAAGAGACCCTCATCCACAATGATTGCTCCATATCAACTTTTTGGCCGCAGGTTCCCACCAGGAATTGAACTCTCCACCCTGTCGTTGGAAGCAAGACAATATTGATTAATCCACCAGTTGATATTGTTTGGTTTATATTGTTTTCAAAGAGCATAAACATCCAAATACTATTTTATTCCTGGGATTTATTTTTAATAAAGAAAATAAATTTACACGTAAATTCATAACTTTTTTCTACTTCTTAATCATACGTTCTCCAAAAAATTAACATTAAAAATAATTCTATCAAACAGTGACTAATCAAGAAACATCCAAATAAATTAAGATCAAGATTAGAATAGGAGCAGTGCTAAAATTAAATTAAGTCTTTGTTAACTTTGATACGTACTACTTCATTTCGAAGTATAAGATCCATGCTACCAAATTCTCAACGTTAATAATTAGTTTATATTATTAGTGTTTGGCTATAATTATAAATAATTTATGAGGAGTTGTGGAGTCTTATAAAATGTATAGGTAATAGATAAATAGTAATTATGAATGTGTGGTTGAAATTGATGTGTGATTGAGATTAGAAAGGTCTGCATTTATCTCGATACATAAAAAGTCTATTTCACATAGGTAGGAACGTTTTCCCGAATAGGACCCTTCTCCAGTGAGTGAGTTCGATTATATAGACTACCACGATCTAAAAATGTATCAGTCCAAGCGCATGACCAGATCAATGACTATCTTACGACCCGAAGATTTATATTCGAGAGTACCCTTGAGTAGTTTTCACATGGTCATTGTACACATTTCATTTACTGTTACTTTCATTTAGTTCAAGATATTTATTGAATTTTTCATTTATTGGAGGTCAGATATATACCCCTTCCATTCTTGTGTTTTTTCATTTTTTATGATATAAAATAAGTCATACTAGCCGTCTTAAAAAATGTTATAAACTTATCTAAACATACATAGACCATGCATAAAGTCATGAAAAAGTTGAAGATGATTGATGCAGTGCACTATATATGTGGTACAATCATTTCGCACCTGTTTGGCCCCCATTACGTGGAATATTATTTTTTTTTAAAATGAGTGATTGAAAAAGAATGAAAAGTTTTCGATTAACGTGTAATATTATTTTATGGAAAATTGTATGATTAAAAATAGGAGAGAAAAAATAAAATATAATGGAATGAAAATTAATGGGGTCCAAACAGGAGCGAAATGTGGAGCACCATTTTAATTTTGTAAATTGTTGTATCAATTATGCTATTTGTTCGATCATGCTTAACAATAATAATTGACAATATTAGTGTTGTCAAAATTCGAGTCATTGATTTAAAAATAATAATTTTTAAATAGATGAATATGATGTTAAGTATGAGTTATCAATCAAAACGGTCAAATTAAATTTTATATATAATAGGATTCTTATTGGATTGATGTAGGGCATTGCATATGTGAACACCATTTTAATTTCTGTAAATTATTAGAACAGGTATCTAGAAGACTCAATTTTTTTAATGAGAAACAGAAGTTTCTTAGCAAGTAAACTTGGCCTAGCCAATTTTGTCACGCCTTTAACTAACCCAAAAAATCTCCAATCATTTATAATATTGCTCTCTGGAAAGTTTAATTTTAATTCTAGTTTAAAAGGTTGTGATTAAAAAAAAAAACACTTCAAGATTTCATCACCTCCAAACCCAAAAAAAATAAAAAAAATAAGAAAAATAATATGAAGTATGTCAATAGCTTTTAAATTAATTATCAAAGAACATAATGAATTTAAGTTTAAATTTGATAGTCGCTTATAAAAGAAAATTAATACAAAGGATTAAACAAAATAAATAAATTAGACTTATGCGACTTGTGAAAAAAAGAAAAAATCAAAAAAGTTGGCGGCCGATGAGTAAGGTCCTCGAGCATAGGGTGTGCAAAGTCAATAAATACTGCCAAATGCTTAGCATTTAAATTAGTAATTTACTTAAGAACTCTGCTAGGTTTACAGGACCTGTTTCACAGGTCTCTGTCAGGCCACACATATACGTGAGGTTCACGTATTTATTTTCTAAAAAATATATGTGGAGTCCTTGCATAGTGAGTTTAATATATGAATTATGAGGAAATCTATTCAAATTCACGATATTCTAATGAATTTTCCAAAATTTCACCAATTGGAGGTCAATTATTCAATATTTGGTATCAAAGCGAGGTTGGGGTGGAATTTCTGATCAAAATCTCAAACATGTTCTAGCTTGAGGATCAAGTACATCATCAACTTAATACGCCTTGAATTATAAATTGAAATAAATAAATTTATTATATTTCAACATGTTAAACTTTTTATGAGGTATCAATATCATTGTGTCATGACACTAGAGAAATTTTTTATGAAATTCACCTCTACATACATAACAAAAATTTAAAGTGTTAGATCCGTAATAAAAAGTGAATTCTTCTTGTAAATAAATATAAATAAATATTTCTTAAATCAAATATAAGGGTTTAGATAATCAAGTGGTTTTAAGAGTAAATTGTCTAATCAATTTTGAGTATATTTCGACGAACTTCGAACAAAAGGGATGGATACTCTACCGTAACTTAAATTATATTTCGTTTTCAATTTCCTTTTTTTATTTAATTTACCCCTATATAATTCTCAAAGTCCAACAATGCCACCTTGTGCTAGAATTAAAAATAATATCAATCACGTACATTGTAAGTAAGTTAAAAGTCTCTTTAAGTATCGGTTGAAACAAGCATAATTAAGCTCCCATTTGGTGCTATTAAAAGTTTTGATTAAAATTTAAGTCAAATTCAATAATTAATTTGAATATCACATTTTATAGGGCTACAACTTTTCAACAATACATTTCATCAACTATTATCAAAATCAAATAAAAAAAATTAATTTTAATCTTCACCAGATAGGAGCTAAGTTTCTTTAGTTTAGTTTCAAATATAATTCTCAACATTCCTTCATAGGATACTATGATAAGGAATCAATTCCCATTCTTAGATCGAGTAACTTCTTCAATGGTCAACCACCTCTCCTCGATCTCCTGCCAAAAAACATTGGTAGCAATAGCTGTCAAAACAGCCACAACCACCATCTTTTCATCCTCCAATCTATTTCCAAACGTAAAAAAATCATCTCTCTCGATTAACATCTTAGCTCAAGCTCCTCAAATGTTGACATATAAATTATCCTTCTCGTCATTTATTATTCCATATCCTTCTTATTGACTACGATCTTATGGTCTTCATAGATGGTTATTATCCATGTCCTTCCCCTACTATCCAAATTAAAGGTGCAATTTCTCCAATCCTAGTTTTTCCCTAAGGACTGAACAAGACCAGTTGATTCTAATGCGATAATCGTATCTCTATCTCATACTATTAACCCATTCATTGACTCCTCCATATCATCGTGTGACACGTGGATGACGTTAACCACGACTTATGCAAAAGCATTATAGTGAACAACTATGCAACTTAAAAAGTCTATTATCCATCTCACAAAGGATCAATTCAATTACCAAATGTCATCAAGCTATTAGAAATAGGACAAATGAGCTTGCATTCTTCAATTTCCTCATTCACTATGAAGACCTCACTATGAACAAATCGTTGATGGACTTACTAATTATTACAAATACATAACTATAATAGTCCGTGCTTATAACATCCTGATATCTAAATTTTGAGTGACAATTAGTTTGCTATATTTTAGAAGTTTAAGGAAGCCCCAAAAAGTTCTTAAAACTCAATGCTGAAAACTTAGATTTTGAATTTTTTTGACAAAGAATTGTAATATTATTGATGAATGTCTTTAAATGGAAATCAGATTTTATACATTTCACATAACTTCATATGTGTGCAAAAGGATCCATAAATATGATTCAACTTCAACTCTTAACCATAAAGTTATAAACACGTGGTTAAAATATATTGGTACAAGTTTTATACTAATATATTTTTAGTACAACATATATTTATGATCTAGTTATTGTTGGAAAATTACACCGATAATTGTGCATATTATATTCACAATAAACATATCGTTTATTTGCATAAAATCGAAACGTATTCCAACTTACTGAAATTGGATTTAAGAAGACAAAATAAGAATTAATCGAATCTGAATACCTGAATTCTTCCCTTTCAACTCATGATCGAAAGTAAGTAATTCTTTGGATCAAACCTTGCAGGATAAACATATAAATAACGTTAATCATTTTCTGAAATCAAATCATAATAAAAGGAATCAGAAAATGAAGAAAGAAGGTGCAAATGACGAATTTTTGGCCGAGGCAAGTGTTGGACACTTTGTCCTTAAGATGAATTTGCCCTGCATCGGTGCTAATGGTTATCCGGCAATCATCTCCCAAGATACAACGACCACATCGAGCCATAGGAGTACTCCAAATAACTTCGACCAACGAACACGAACGGAATTCCCTCTCTACCATGACCATGACCGTGACTTTGATACAAATGTTTTATGCAAAACCAAAGTGTAAATTGGAATGAAATGATATGGTATCTATGACTTTTCTTGAATAAATAAAATTCAAACACATGGGGTCTATCTATATAGTAGTTGGAAAGGTATGTCAAAAGACAAAATTATACCAAGAGACACATCACTTGGAATTCATAATTATTGGGCATTAATCATACTCATACCAAGAGTCATGATCTTTCATACGAAAAGACGCACTTTTCATCCACATATTTCTAGAATATTCCACAATATACTATACGATTTTTCAATAATTTCAAGTATTAAGCGACTTTATATTTGGCATAATTTCTCATTCACCAAATTAAGAATTTCACTTAAATAATTATGTAAACCAATTTTACATACAAAATTCTAACAATCCCCTATATGAATGAAAATTAATGCAAATGTCTATGCAGACAGTAAGGTAGCTT